TTTCTCTATTCCAGAGTTGGGTCTTCCGAAGCTTTAGTTCTAGAAACCTCCATTCTCAGTTAACTTATTTTGTTCAGGACTGAATTGGGGCTAAGAAAAGAGAGTATGGCGATAAGGTCCCAGGGAAACTAGTTCCTGTTGCCCAAACCTACCAGAGAAGAGTTTTTACCAGAAAGTCAATTGAATATTTTACAGTCAAAATAGAATAGCCAAGCAGATGAATATTCCTACTGGCCAGTGAATATTTTTTTTCTGGCAAGGAAGCCAGGAAACCAAATGGATATCCTAAGACTGATTTATGAAGAATACAGTTGATTAGTGAGGAGACTGCACAAATTAACCAGAATCTCCTGTCATCCATCTGGATACTCCCTTGAGAGTTCCTGGGTACATTCTGTCCCAATATCACCTCAAGTTGCTCCTTTAATGCATTCCAAGATGCTTCTTGAAGTTTTCTAATGATATGAACACCCACATTAAGGGTCTGTAATTATTCCAGCCTTGAGAAAATGTCAATTTTTCCGTTAATGCACTAGCTTTTAATTCCCATGAATCAAGGAATTTTAGGCTTCTTCCAATATTCTTATAAAATTAGAATATAGGTTGTTGACAGAATCCTTCGAAAACAAGAGAAGAAATGGTACATATTCAAGATGTCAGTTATGCTGAGTACTAAGTGTGGCATAGTAGGAAAAGGCACAGAGTCAGAATTCAGGCCCCACAGGGCTACAGGATCTGCTTTGGAATGCTCTTATAATTAGATTTAAATACATTAGATTTAAATAAAAAATTGATATCCATGAAGAGTTGTTGTGGTGATACTTTAACAATGAAAATTTCTTCTGTGGTTGGAAGAAAGAGCCAAATCTTATGCTGAGGAACTATAATCATTATCTAGTAAAAATGAAAACTATGTGGAAGAGTGAAAGGGGATAAAATTTCCTGGTCTTCTTTGTAAGTTGTTTGAAGTTTTTTTTTTTTTTTAAGGGAAACTGAATTACTCTTTGCCCCAAAGTTGCAGAAAGAAGAATCTGTTTTTTATGAGCTGTTAGACATTATTTTTTAATCTTTAATTTTCATGTCTCTCTTTGTCTTCAAGAGACCATTAATCTTTCAAGCTATCAAGGTGAAAAAAACCCACTACACCAAAACAAAAGTAGTTAGTTGTGAGTATCTAGGAGGAATAAAAATGATCATTTTTGTCTACCAGAGTACAATGAAACTGGCAAGAGAAAACCTTTATTTTTTCCCTTTGTATAGTTAATAATATAACTTTTTTGCCAAAAAGGCAGCTTTCCATAAGGATAATTTGTGTTAAATTTCCAAGATAGTACTAGTGACATGCAAAACATTTCCTAGATCAAGTGACTAGCTATGAAGAGAATCTTTAAAGGGCAGGTGGTTGGGGATACAAATTTAAATGTCAGTTGAGCAAATGTTCTCTGTAAATCTATTTGATAAAATTTAAGTTATGCTGGGGCCAACCCAGTTGCGTGGTGGTTATGTTCATGTGCTCTGCTTTGGCGGCCTGGGGTTCGCAGGTTTCCTGGGTGTGGACCGACATACTGCTCATAAAGCCATGCTATGGCAGTGTCCCACATACAAAAAAATGGAGGAAGATGGGCACAGATGTTAGCCCAGGGCCAGTCTTCCTCAGCAAAATGAGGAAGATTGGCAACAGATGTTAGCTCAGGGCTAAGCTTCCTCACCAAAAAAAAAAGAAAAAAATTGTTATGCTTTTGAAATTCAGAATGGAAATATATTCTTGTGATTGAGTAGAGTTATTATGGAGGAGATTATATGAAGAGATTATATATAATGCAGAGAAAAAATAAATAATGAACAAATGAATAAGGAGTTAGAATTTGTCTTGCGATTTATCTGGGGTAACAGAGCTCTAGGATGGATCAAAGAAAATGTTTTGAATTTGGCCTCCCAGAAATATTTTGCTTTTTTAGTATTAGGCAAAGGCAATCTAACTCACGTTATTCACATGAAGTAGAATAGACTAAGTGAGCTTCTTTTCTTACCTCTAGTGCAGTGGTGCTTACTAAAAAGGGCTCACAAATTTAAATTGCTCTGAGATCTAATCTCACCTTTCAAACTTCTGAATTTTCCACCTGTTGGAATCATAAAATCTTAGTAGGAACTGTTTATTAAGGGATATATTTAATTGAGGCGTATATTTAATTATCTCAAAAGGACATTTAAAATTCAATTAAAAATGCAAAATCACGTCACTAGAGTGAAAAGCCAGGAGATTTTGACAACCAGGAGAACCAGAGTTTACAGTCTGAGATGAATACACAAAGCCATTTATGTTTATTCTAGAGAATAAAATACAAAACATTGCTTTAAGATCTGAAATTATTTTTTGAGACACAGAAATAATATTGGTTGAACAAGATAGAAAACTAAGTGTATAATGAAAGAGAGCTTGGATAACTGATGAAGTTTGAAAGGACTGTAGAGATCAAGGAATCTGTGTGAAGACTGTGACATGTTAATTCCACAGGGTGTTATATAGCCATTAGGAATTATAAACCTGAAGGCCCTTCTAATGTCAATGTCCTAGGATAGCATACAATATTCTTAAGATATTCTTCCAAATAAAATTATAGGCTTTAGGTCATGCAGTCAAGTAATTAAAAAATTTAAGCATGGAGTTTAATTAAACATAGTTTTAAAAATAAACAAATAAATAATTTTAAAAAAGCCTTTGCTTCTACTCCTTATATTTTGAAGGTGGAAAATGTTCCAGCAGGATAACATAGTAAATTAAGATGTTGAGTTCTGGAGTCAGACTGCCTAGATTTGAACACTGGTTCTGATGCTTACCAGGTGTCTGACACTGGGCAAGTTACTTAACCTCTTGTGCCTCAATTTTTAAATCAGCAAAACAGGGATAATAATGGTACCTGCCTCACAGAGCAGTTGTGAGCATTAAATGAATTGATACAGATAAAGCACTTAAAACAGAGTAAAAGCTCATTAAACATTAGATACCATGATTTAAAGGCATAATTTTGGACCTCACGGAGTTGATAATTCCACAAAGTGATGCTTCCACTTTTTGGGAGAAAATACTAACACATATGGAAAAACTGGAAAAAAATTAAGTACTAAATAGTGTGGTATAGGCTATAAATACATACAACATTAAAGAAGAACAAATTCATGGTGAGCTTGTAGGTGATTAAGTATAGTATGTTTCTGTGTGGGAGGAAGTGGGACTGTGAGTGGAAGTGAGAACATAGGCAAAGAGCTTGGAGGTAGGAACAAGTAAGCAACAAGATTCTTTTATGTGCAGTAGAATTTAACTATGACCTCATTTTGTTCTAATTCTTTAGAAATTGAGAATCCATGTAATATATTTGAATCAGTATGTTTAAGTAACAAACTGTCTCCAAATACTTTAAAATTATATCACACTGTATATTTTTAAGGTAAAACTTTTAACATATGTGTGTATGTTATGATCACATTTGAGTTTCAAAAACGCCCTGTAAGAAAGGCAGGACAAATAGTATTATTCCCATTTTACAAATGAGGAAGCTGAGGATCAGAGTTTATGTCACTTGCTTTTAAGTTACACCACTAGTAAGTAATAAGAGACCAGATTAGCATCCAGATCTTTTGGCTTCCAGTGTAGTGCTCTTCTACCACACTATACTTACCGAATAGCAGAAAGCTTAGTAAATGAGAAATGAGGACTGACTTTTATGATAAATATTATGTTTGATCTACAAGGAAAAAATGGTATAGGGTAAAAGTATAGGTACTGCCAAATCTCAGGTATGTTAAACAAAAATAAATGGGCATCAGTTATTGCTGTGCTTTAAAGGTCCTCTGTCTTTATGTTTTGAGTTTTTTCCCTAAGGAATTGCACTATTAGAAGTGAAATAGAAATAACATACACGTGGCAGATTCAGATAGAACTTCTCTTTTCATAGCTTTCCTTTTTCTTCACCACTATCATTTATTTCCTTTGAGGTAATGTGCCTTTTGAAATACAGAATTAAGAAACAGAACACACTTTGGCAAAAGCTTGCCCATGAATATTATATTTCAGCCATAATCAAGTTGTTGTTGCTGTTTTAAGAACAAAGCTTCCACTGTAATATAAAAGCCACTGTAAACATATCCTTGATATTCCTGTTGACATGCCAATAAAAAAGTAAAAAGCATAAAACAATAATAAAACTTATAATTAACTTCCACTCATAAATGCATATCGTAGAGCAAAACCTCTTACATATAGTTATACACATATGCATAAATATAAGTACTTCTTAAAACAATTTGTAATATCAACATTCAAATTTTTATTCAGAAACCTATTGTAGTTAATTTTGATCACAGTAATAAGCATGTAGAAAAGTAGACTCCTTTACTCTTCCTTAGATAAATTTTTAATTACTTCTCTTCATATATTGGAGTGCCAGTTGTCTGGTTTCTTAAGGAAGGATTGTATGTCTTGTAGGGAGAGAATTCCCTATAAGAATCTCAGTGAGCAACAAAAACTCCACCATTCTCTTTTGGGGGCCTGAGAGAGGAGCAGAAGAAAATTAGACACAAACTAGCCCTTGACCAGGTTTATCTTCCTCAGTTTCCAGATTGTGCATTGCATGGAGTCTTTAGGGCCATTTGGCTGAATACCAGGCTGTTCTAGCACTTGCACATTCTCTTTTGAAAGAAATGGCCCTATTTTGCCTAGCCAGTCAATGCTACAAAGGAAGAGGGTGACAGTATATTTTATGTAGCTCCTGTATCATTTCAGTTCTCATCTGAGGGCATGCACGCAAAGGGATATGTTAGGATGATTGATTACTATTTGCTAATTTTATATCCTAAAAGGCTAGTTCTTATCCTTTGTAAAGCTTTTATTTGAGGGGGAAAAACTTGATCTCAGGACAGTTTTTTATAGTGCCAAGACATTAATATTATCCATCTTTTGATGAATCATCAAAAAAAATTTATAATTTAGTTCATAGTTGTGGACTGAATTTTTAACACAAAATATTTTTAGCACCTCTAATAATGTGGATGCATAAATGAGACATTTATACACACACATTCAGTTGTGTAAATTATCAATGGAAATTCTTATTTTTATTGTAAATGATTTGAGAAAATACTTGTTTGGGAAGCTCTTTTCATTCATAGAGATAGGTTTAAACTATTCTTTTTATATTTCTTCTCCTTTTTCTGGCAAGGAGACCTTCTTCTTGGGTACATAAGTCATGCTGGACAAAGAATGCTTTCTAAACGTAGACAGCCTTCTCCTAAAGTTCCCCCCTGAAAAGAAATATAGGACAGGGTCAAAGCAACAATTTGATGCAGCCAGAGACAAGGTTATGACCACTGACTTTTGCATTCTAAGAACAGAATCACAGGGTTTGGTTTCATTGTGTAAAAAATGAAGGTGGATGGTGCGTTGAATATGATATGGCATGAAGCTGATCAAAAAGGCAGCTGTCACGACTATGATCATTCCTATAGCCTTTTTGCGACTTGATAGATTTTTCTTCATTGAATTTTTTAGTAAGGTCAAAATGATCATTGTGTAACAGACAATTATAATAACAAAAGGAATGATAAATCCAACAAACAATGACACATAGTGCAAGACCAAAACATGATTTTTAGCTTGATGGTCTTGTGGAGGCTCAAAGCACTTGGTATTGTTTTTCTCATCTTTGTAAGATTTGGACATTAAAAATGGAGAACTGGTCAAAATTACAAAAATCCAAATGCCAGCACATACAAACCTGGCTTTTTTCTGTGTAATCAAATTAATGTTCTGGACTGGGAAAACAATTGCAATGCACCGGAAAAAGCTCATTGCTGTCATAAAGAAGATGCTACAGTAGAGGTTGACATACAAGGCATAGGTGCTGAGGCGGCACAAAAAGTCACCAAAGAGCCAAACGCCTTTGTGAACATAATAGACCACACGGAGAGGCAGTGTACATACGCACAGTAGATCAGCTACTGCTAAATTAATCATGTATACTTGGAAGGCTGACTTCTCATGATATGTTCTTATGAGGACGTAGAGCACAAAGCCATTGCCAAAGAAGCCCACAACGGAGATCATAGAGTACAAGGTAGAATATACTTGATTGCGGAAGTCATCAATAGTGTCATTGCATTTGTTATTACTGGCAGAAAATACTGTCAGATTTCCAACTCCATCCATGTTTCTCTAGGAATGGCTGCTTGGTGCCTACAATATATATATAAAAAAAAGTCTCGTCAATTTTTACCAGACCGTAAATTACAGGAAGTACTAAAGTTTCACTTTATAGTATCACTATGTATACTTTTTGACCACGACAGGAAGCAAGAGTGGTGGGGCAATGAGGAGGGATTCAGCTGCATCTTGTCCCCAGGAGAAGGGTTTGCGTCCTACAGGCACACAGAAAAAATTTTTGCCCTCCTTTTTCACCCATATTTGCCTGACGGACTTCCTCTTAATCTCTAAGACTTAGCTGAAACAGCTCTGCCTTATTTTAAGTCATATTACTCCAGTACTATTCTGTAAATCTTCCTTTAAAGTGAGTTTTTTTTGAATTAGAGAAAAGGCTTAAAGACAGTAGTCTCATAAATATGAATAGATCTCCATTATCTACCTACCTACCTATCTATTGGAAGAGCATTGAATTCACTTGGAGAATAAAATCTGGTGAAAATGCTTGGTTCACCCAAGAACAGGGCTTCCTAGGTAAACATCTGCAGGGTGATGCTCATACATAGGGAAAATAATTGAATTTGTTATTAATGGAAGTCACTCCCCTAGGGGAGAATCTTAATCTAGAAGACAAATGTCTCTATTTAGAACCACAGAACACCAAGGCCAGAGAAACTTTAGAAGCCATCCAGTTATTTTAATGAGGAAAAAGAGTTCTAAAGAGGTGAAATACATTTCTAAAATCTGCACCATAAGTTAAGGCTCTGAAGAAAGATATATCACAACTGTTGGAATATACTTTCTGGGTGAAGATATTGCTGTAGCCGTTCCTCCTTGTTCTCTTCCTAGACTCACACTCAAAGTCTTACTGTTTAACAATACATGGTAATTTATCTTATAGCAAGAGGTTGTTACTTGGTCTAGCCTAGTTCAGCTATATCAGGGCAGTCAATCAGGGCAGTCAACAAGCTCTGATCAGCGAGAGCTAGGGATGAGATAGTGTGGAAGTGGTGATTTCTTCAGTGTTCCTCCAGATTCTTTTATTCTTTAAGAAGGTGAGAGCAACTCATTGATATATAATACAGTGGATAATTTTTTATTGAAGTCTGATTTATTGGCCTTTTACACAGTTCTTGCTCACTGGTAAAAGAGGGGTTGGGGTTTGGAAGGTGGGAAGACTGCTTGAGCATGCAAGAACTGCCAGCATTGGAGGGGAATGATCTCATCTCTGTGCCAGTGATACAGAAACAGCCATGGTAGTGGTTGTAGGTGGCGTATAACTTCCCAGGTTTACTATTGCTAACAATTATATTTGCTGTGATAACATGCCATCCATCAATCTGTCCACCCTGGCTAGTTGTTCCATTTTTCCCTTTCATTAAAAAAATGTCATTATTTTTCACCAAGAACTGTTGGTATACAATAAAAAATGGAAGATAACCATTCTGAGAGTGGATATTTAAGATCATAGAGAAAAATGAGTTCACTATTCCCAACCTCTGCATTATTTCTCAGTTTGCTTTCCAATTACCTGCCTCTTTCACCATTGGTTCACTGAGCTCAGGTGCAATTGTGGAAGAAAGGGAAACTGCCTAAACTTAATCTAGTCTTTTATTGTTAGCCTTGTGTTGAGTTTTCCCCAAATCAGGCAGTGTTATGCTGTGAGGCACTAGATGGTGCTATTGAGATTTTTGATAAAGTCTTTGTTTTAAGAACTACACTTGAAAGGTATTAGATAATTACCATCTGTCCTTCATACCACCATCAACCCTCACTAAATCCTGCTACAAACTCTTTCCGGAATAATTTTCCATACATTGTAGCTGCCAATTATGTCATGTCCTTGCTCTAAAACCTTCAATGGTCTCCAAGTGCCTTCAGAATAAAATCCAGACTTCTTGGCCTGATATTTAAGGCTCTCTACAGTTTAGTTGCAACTGAACTTTCCTAGCTTCTCTCTCACTTCTCTCCTTTGCATACCCAAAGTTCAGTGAAACAACTATTTTACTATACCAGGGACATGCGCCACATGTTTTCCCATCTGCCTGTCTTTTTTCATGGTATTTTTTTTTCCTGAAATGCCCTTTCTTCCATTTATGTGTATGCAAAAATTACCCATCTTTCAGCTTAAATTACACATTCTTGACCAAGCCTTCCCTTAGCCTCCTTCCAAAGTAATTTCTATCTTTTTCCCTTCTAGGGAACTTTACACATTCTTTTTTTTTATAGTGTTTGTTTATTTATTTATTTAATTAATTAATTTATTTATTTTGTGAGGAAGATCAGCCCTGAGCTAACATCTATTGCCAATCCTCCTCCTTTTTTTTTCTCTTTTTCTCCCCAAAGCCCCAGTAGATAGTTGTATTCATAGTTGCACATCCTTCTAGTTGCTGTATGTGGGACGCCACCTAGCCTCAGCATGCCCGGACAAGCGGTGCATCAGTGCGCGCCCGGGATCTGAACCCCGGGCCGCCAGTAGCAGAGCGCACGCACTTAACCGCCAAGCCACAGGGCCAGTCCCCCTTCTAGGGAACTTTAAATCCATCTTGTAGATCAATGATTTGTATGCATATGTTATCTTTTCTCACGGACTATCTGGTTGATATATAACATAGGAAGGCATCTCACACAAGGCTAACACGTATGTACCATGCCCATAAGTGCTCAATAAGTGTTAACTGAGTGAATGAGTAAATGAATGATGAAACAAGTTTGTCATTTGAAAATATTATTTGTCATTCAAAGCCACTTAGAGTTATCTTTGCATTTCAATATAATATCAAACCTTTCCAGCCTCAGAGCCTAAAGTGGCTCTGTTAAGTGCAGTAGCTTCCTGAAGTATTAATGAAGGTACTAAATCATAAGGCTAACTGTAAGATTAAAAAAAACCCCATATTTTGACACAGATTAATCATTTGTTTATTTTATTTGTCTGTTAAGTGTTAGAAATAAATTTGAAATTCCTGGATCTTTGAATGAAAGATGTCAAATAAAACTGATAAATAAATTAATAAAAAACAAAGAAAAACAGATGATCTTTAGTCCCATTAATAAACTTGCCAGTCCTTACAGACCAAAATAAACTTTCTTAGTAATTTTGATATTTACGTTCAATTGTTTATTTATAACTGAGTTAAATCAATGACTTAGGCCATAAAAAGAAGATTATAAAACTTTCAAACAAGTAATGAATCTTAGAGGAGTTGAGATCATTTAGTCCAAGCCACTCATTTCATAGATGATGGCTTTGCTTGTCTTAAACATCATTTAATTCATTTTTTTGTAATTTACTGTGATCCCCCAATAACGAGACCCACACTATATGGATAAAGAGATGCCTAAGATCCCATCCCTGCCTTTAAGCAGCTCACAGTCTAGTGGGGGGGAGAAGTGTCTCAGAAGGGTGGAGAGGGACAATACAGTATGGTAAAAGCTATCTTAGCACAAAAGAAATGGTTTATTAATTGATTAATATAAACCAGCAATAAACATAAATTAATTTTTAGTGCAGATGATGAAAGAAGTTACTTTGTTAAGATAATTTTCAAGTTGAAAAAAAAAAGATTCATTTAGAAAGTGGAGCCATACCTCTTTCTGGCAGTGCAGTACCCTTCACGAATGTTTCTGGTTAGTGGTCAGTGCTTCTTATGATTTAGTATCAGATTAAGCCTAAGCTGAAATCATAATATGGAAAAGGAAGTTAATGACATCAGAAGCAGTCCAGAAGGGTCATAGGAGTTGCAGCCTTAAGCACAGATCCAGGTTTGATGGCACATCAAAGCTTTACTGACAGATTTAGGGCTAGTTATTGGATTCCATGCCATCTTCTTTTCCCTCCATTCATTTTTACATCCCCAGGGGAGAAAATTGGAATACAGACCAGGGCTGATCACAGATGTTTTATGCTGTGTGCACATAGCGTCTGTATCTAAAAATGAAGACAGTATTATAAAAATACTCCTTTCTATGAAACCATGATATTTTTCCTATTTTCTCTTCTAAACAGTTTGCTATAAAGTTCAAAGGGGAAATAATATGGAAGTTTATATCCAAGGATCTGGATTGTTAGGAAGAGGAGTTAGAACATTAAAAATATCAAGTATATCTGTCTGGGATGGCTTAGGGACAGTTTTCCTTGTAGGAAGGATGGCTTAGAGGACCTTGGACTCTTCTCCCTAAAAACTCATAATAGCATTTATTGTTAATGTCACTAATTTGGCATATATTATATACTTTCAGAGATCAACTGATTTGTAGTTTGTATAGTTAACTTTTCATGAGTGTATATGTCTCTTCTCTTCAATTAAACTGTATCAGAAATTCTAACAAAGTATAACAAATCTCCAAGAAATGAGCAAGGAAGGGCTTTCTTGAAACAGTAACAATCTGAGCACTTTTCTTCTAAATTTGTGTTGCCTTATGGCAACTTTTATCCCTGTCTGCGAGGACTCCAGAGGCCACTTTCCTGTAAGGCCACTTTTCATTTATCTGTGGTCTACGTGCCAACAAAATAAACACCTTCCTCCAGTTTATTCATAGCAAGTATAAACAGGCTGGGACATTCCAAAGGAACTCTACTGAAAAAAAAAAAAAAAAGGAAATCAGAAGGAAAGTAAAGAAAATGCAAAAATATAAAACATAGACAAGTTTTAAAAGTAGGAACCTGAACCTACAGTTACAATATTGCTGTTTGAATCTACCCTGTACTCAGATAATCATTTTTCAGATTCTCCAATTTCTTCTCTCTCTCTGAATTTTCCCTCCTTCTCCAGGTAAGGTGTTAACATAGGTAACCTACTATTAATGGTCTGGGTGGAGAATAGTTTGCAGGTGGGGAATTACTTAACCAGAGTGGGCTTTTATATTTTGTTACTCAGGCAATAACCTTTTTTTTTGGTTTGGCTTGTCCTAGGTCTCTGAAATTAATAAATATATGCTGACTGAATATTGAATGATAAAAATCCTTTCTAATCCTAAAATTATACGCTTCCACTCAACTTATCTATGGAGAAAATTAACTTTTGCTCCATCACAGTTTTGTGTTTAGACAAAGCTTATATTTCTCCCTAGTATGGAAAGAGAAAGAAAGTTTATGAATTTCTAACACCCATCTATGAGAAGTGTAATATTACCAGGCTAATATACTAGTCATCCATTTCCATGGTAGCTGTGCAATTACAATCTAGCCCACTCTTTACATGTACAAGTGAGTAAATGTTGCATTGTCTTGGCAACAGTGTAGTGTTTCCCCAAGTTTGGGATTCTGAGGTGTCTTCTGTGGTTCCTTTAGAAATTCTGAGCTTTGCATATAGCAGGCACTCAATACTTTTACTCCTTTCCCCTCTTTCCTTTTCAGTTTCCTTAAGGACTCTTGTCTCTGACAGCAGCTTCTGCCAAAAGTAGGTTCTACCATTCTTATCCGGGTGATTGGGTGGGTGAAGGTGAGGCAATAAAGTAAAAGTGTGTATATATGACTTTTGATTTAAATTATTTAATTCAGTAGTTACTCGGATCTTTTATTTGGCTTAAGTCCATGTATGCATGTATGTACATATATTCTCTTTCCATCAGCGTTTGGCCTCCATTGAACCTGTAATCTGGTCATGCTCCAGTGACCAGAATGAGGTAAATGAGAGCCCAGAGATAATCTAAGAATATAAGGTCCCAATTCATATTCCATACTATTTATTGTTGCTGCAATAGAATCACCTATGAGCGAGAATGACTTATATACTGTTGTGTTTTCTAAGTGTGGTCCAGGTAGAGCTGGTGATCTACAAGTGTCCCCAGGTAGTCCCTAGGCTGATGTCTTATATTAAATGAAAATAGTAATAGTGCCTCTTTTTTTGTTTCTAGTCAAAAAAAAAGCCATCTGTGGTCCTCTCAAAACAATTTGATATTTCTCTTTTTTGAAGTCCTGCAGTATTTTTTTTGTACTTTTCTTGATAATTTTCATTTATTGTTTTGTGTCATAGTCATGTCTCTGGTTATTCAATTTAAACTTCTCCATTCTTTCTCACTTGAGTCCCACTAAGCTTAAAGGGCAATAGATAAGTGTTATTCTTTTTGTATTTTATGCTGTACATAGTACAGTACCTTTTAAATGTTGCTTGATTTGAATTAATCAATTTTCTATATCATTTCATTGATGTCATCAAAATCAGAGGGAATATTTGCCTGCAGATGGGCATGGTGGAAAATTTGTAGGACTGGTAGGCACAAGACCTGTACCATATCTCAGGCTCTGGTGGATGATTAATTGTGTAACCTTGAGTAAATCACTTCCTCCTTGTGATCTCTTCACTTTATCTGCAATTCAATAGTGTTGTATTATATGATCTCTGAATTCCTTCCAGTTTACTGTTCTGTAAATCTATGAAGATCAGGGTATGTGATTTTTTCCTTGTTTTAGTTTTGATCTTAGAAAAAAAAAGAGCAAGTAGGATAAGAGATCTTTGGATTTAAGGAAGAGGAACATGAACATAAGTTGTTTGAGAGCTTGTTTTAAGATTACTAGCTGTTCCCTGAGTGTCTCTCAGGTGAACATCTGGGAGAAAGACTCACTTCATTCCTCTTTGAATGTATCGGCTGTGCTCGAGATACAGACTTGGTCAGGCCCTCTAAAGGCAACACAGTAGTTCTAGCTTTGACAGTGGTTTCTTTTCTTTCCTTTTTTTTTTTTTAAGAAGGAGGATCAGCCCTGAGCTAACATCCATGCTAATCCTCCTCTTTTTGCTGAGGAAGACCGGCTCTGAGCTAACACCTATTGCCAATCCTCCTCGTTTTATTCCCCAAAGCCCCAGTAGATAGTTGTATATCATAGTTGCACATCCTTCTAGTTTCTGTATGTGGGACGTGGCCTCAACATGGCCGGAGAAGCGGTGCGTCGATGGGCGCCTGGGATCCGAACCCGGGCCGCCAGTAGCAGAGCACGCGCACTTAACCGCTAAGCCAGGTGGCTGGCCCCGACAGTGGTTTCTAAACTAAGTGCTAATTTTATAATATAAAGTGGCCCCAATTTCTAGGGCTCACAGGTCTCTCTCCCTTGCCTTACCCCTTTTGTTTTCAAATAACAAGTTACAACATTTCTGGTTCTAGCAGTATGATCACCATTTTTTCAGATCTTCTAAGAGAGAAACTCCTAAAGTCATCTTTGTTGATTCCTTTTTATCATCTTTTGTATGGAATGCCAATCCTGCTTGATCATATGGCTTTAGAATTCCAGGGCTGATGATCACATGGCTTTAGATATCTTATGATCCATCCATTGATATCTTAGCTGATGCCTAAATCTACTCTGCAGAGTTTCTAACAGGCTTTGATTCCTGTTAAAATGACATTGTCTTTAGGACAGTCAAGCCACAAATTTACTAGACCCTGTCATCTCAGTTAGATGGAAGGAGTCTGGGAGGATTTTGCTAAAGTTGATGGAGGCAAGAGAAAAAGAGTAGGAAGGCACCTGAAATCTGAGATCTGAAGACACTGAAGTTAAAATTACAGATGGAGAAAACAGCATAGATCTGGGAAGCTCGGGATGAAGGGAGGACGGATCTGACTCCTTCCCAATTTTGCTCCAGTTCCAGCTAAACTTTATCCAATCTGACACCAAGTCTTGATCTTTTTCCTCTCCATGCCTCTTCATTCCCACTGCTGCTTCTTCAGTTCTGGCTCTCATTACCTCAGACATAGATGACTTATAATAACCTCTACTTTTCACATGCACCTTGTATTTTAGCCATGCTGAACTGCTTGTAATTCCACTCTTTTTGCTGCTCAAGAGCCTACAAATGACTAGAATCAAGTCCCAACCCTGTATTTCAAACAACCCCCTTCACAATCTAGCCCTAGAGTCCTATCCAACCTTCTGTCTCACAGAGAAAGATGATAATGGCAGAGGCCAAATAAGTGTTACCATCTGGAGAAAGAAGAAATCCTCTAGTAAGTACTAAGGAAAGCTTAGGGATCTCAGAAAGAGAGCCTTACAACAATCTGTGACAACTTTTTTGATATGCAGTTATCTCAAATTAAGATATGCTATAGAATGAAACAAACAGCTTAATTATTGGAATAGTGACTCTTGGGAAAACTTGGTTCACGGACAAGGTACACTGACATACTAGTTTAAAATTCTAATTGTCTTGACAGGCATATCCCTTGAATGTAGTATTGTGAGTCACCAAAGTAGCCAATATCCTTGCTCTTCAGATCAGTGATTTTGTCCTGAGACCATGCCTTGTAGTACCAAATTTTAATTTCTTTTTATTTTATCCTGTCATCCTTTACAAGTATTCATGGTTTCCAACCAACCCCTTCCCCCTAGGTCCATCTCCAGCCCTGCCCCACTTGGGTCATCTTTTGAGCAATGAAATATGTATTTTTACCTTATTATTTACCCAATGCAAACAAATCATAAACATTTTTGTTTCCTTATGAGTAATATTTTGGGAGGTAGTCAAGTATTCCTGATATCTCCAACAACCTTAATTAAGAGAGATGCCAGGGCCAACTTTGATCAGCAGGAGGAGAGGTGTTAATTTGTTTGATATCTGGCATTTGGACTCTAAAATGATCTTAGGAGATGACCCTAATTTGGAATTTCGTTCCCGGAACTGAGAAAATTTCCAAAAATAATACAAAGAAGATCAGCTGTATTAATCTAAATTTGGGGAGTTTA